CGCCATCGTTTGTTCCAATGACTGCATTATTGAAAATAATTATTTACCTAGAAATAATGAAATAAGAAAAGAAGATAATGCAGGTAGATAACTGCTGTACTTAAATTGTGAACATATAATATAATTAAACAATGTAATATTTAGAAATAAAAAAGCATTGAGTTAAAATTTTGTCTTGTCAGTGCTTCACAGCTACCCACCTATATGCATTATTCATTGCCATATCCCACCCTTCAAATCGATACCCAGCCATGCAAACACAACGTTGATCATTTTTTAAGTATTTATATATACAACTGCTTTTTCTTTGTTAAGTCTAAGTCTTAGCATTTTAATAGCTTAACTAGTCGTTCTAAAATATGACATACACTATTTTGGATGGAGAAGGACGTATTTTATTCGAGTCACGTGGAAGTAATTTCTAATAAAAGTATTTCTTTTTTATTTATATATTCTTTATTTACCACATTAACAAAAAAATTTTGGTGCAAAAGGTTAACTTACTGCTATATAGCAATCTCTTCTAGTCAACGTTTGAAAAAACAGAAACAAAATTAATAAGATATATAATATTAGTAGGAATTGTTATTAATATCATCTAATAATCAGTAAAATATGTAATCAAATTTACTGCCACAAACATAAATATTCCATGATCATAAATTGAAAACCGAATCAACCTATACTGATAGGTATTCTGTGGTCAAACGTTAATGATCTATCGATTTAATTATGTAATAGTTTATTCCATTTAGCATTGTCCAAAACATGATATTAACAATATAAAAGGTGTCGCCGTCGCATTATCCGCACAGTCTTCTGGCAGCTGTTGACACTTACCCCAAACATAATGAATAAGTTGGTACGTATATGTCAATTAAATATTCTCTATTAACACTGCTTATCCTTTTATTTTTTCGCTATTTGCTTGATTTCTGTTTAGTATTACAAGCAGTAAAATAATTCCTTTTAAAACTGCTGCGCTTTTAGAATCTGATACGTGTGTTGAACTGCTCCTCTTGTTCCTCAGACCGAAACAAATCTTACACAACAACGCATTACTGTTTCACGGTAGAAATTGATGACAATAGTGCCTACGTAAAATTCTACCAGCAGTAAAACCTTTTATCTTGTTATCTATGTCGGCATATCTCTTCCTCTACCATTCCTCCCTCCTCCTATCAGATATCGTCGCTACGTTACCGTTCCCAAGGGTATTAAAATCCCTGCACCCATCTTACTTACCTTTTGTATTCATCTCCTTTTAAACCTATTCATATGACCGAGTAAACAAAAAATTAAAATTGCATGCTTCGTCATGTCAGGGTTCGATCTCTGTCCAGTAAAATTTTGCAGTGAATTAATTAATTATAATGGACAAACAGTTTTTCTTTATTTTTGGTCAAGGAATTTTGGGGCTAACTTTTGGCAATGACAGAAAATCAGTGTTTTGCTCTTTTGAGAGAAAAGCAATAAACAAAATTGCGACCATTTTGTGTAACTGTGACACACATACGAAGGGGAAAAATTATGTAACTTCTTTTATGCACTTTCCCTTATATATATAAATTCCTTTTCCTCTTTGTGTGTCTGTTGTTATTTATGCATTGTAAGCGATGCAAATAAACTATATATCTATCTATCTACATAAGAAACAATGTGTGTAATTCATACTTCAGTCCAGTCCCGTTCTATTACAATCACGATCAATCTTGAAATGTATTTTTTTATGCAACTTAGAATGGCAAACAAGCTAACAGCCCGCCTGATGGAAAGGGGCAGTACCTGACCAAGATCGAGCCGAGAATGAACCATAACTGACATTATAGTGTGAAACTAGTGTTTCTTATTTGTATCGGCTTTACTTATGTATTAAATTCGGGATGTCCGACTAGGTTCAAACTCGATAGGAGCCCTTACTTATAACGTATTAATTCATTATATTACAGATCATTATTGCGTTCGCTTGTGTCCTAACGGTCCAAGCCTTGCCCAAGATCAGGCGCATAAGGCAACAAGTTTACCCAGGCCCGGTTGTGGGACACCAGAATGAGGGGCATCATGGCGATGAGCATTACGAGGCCGGAAAACATGGGCATGAAAACGAAGGTCATCACAGTGAGGGGTATGACCACAGCCACGACCGTGACCATGAGACACACGATGTGACTAAGGTTTGTTATTTTTTAATAAATAAATATTTTCGAAGATATTTAACAGTATCAGTTAATTTCAAATTAATCAGAGCCTGTACTATGTGGCCTGTACTAAAGAAATGATAAAAATATATAAATACTTGTTTTGAGTAACATACTTAGAAATCATTCAGATCAATACGAACAGATATACTCAGGAATACAAATCTTTGTATTGTATGAGAATCGAACCCGTGATCATTGGCGGATAAGCTGGTGTGTTATTCCGCTATACACGTATCACCAAGGTTGTCGAATTGAGTGAAAATTTATGCTAAAAATATATGTAAAAGAGATGTAAACACTAAAATTATGATTGGAATAGGTGATGATAGAGATACAAGCAATTCAAGCATCCCTTATGCATATATGCATCTGGAATACAAGTGAGTAATGATGTCCGGTCAAATATCACTTTATGATGCCAGAAATTAACAACGATGATTCCCAAAAAACCGCATGGAGGCTAATCTAACGGGATGCCTATATTGTTAGTAATGAGATCTAAAAGTCCCTGTTATTTCCCTCCGCTCGATATGTTTTAGTCAACGAAGTTCAGAGCGAATGAGGCCCTTGTTCTTCCATTGAGTAAGATTGCCAGAGTTCCCCTGAGAAAGGTTGTGCTAATACCACGGGCACTTTCTCTTGTAGTGGTGCTAACATGTTTTCATTACTTTAAAATGTGTGATAAACAATTCATAATTTCGTATATCTGGTGTCCTCAGTTTCTTTTGAAATACAATTATATTAAATAGTATCTTCTGTATTTTCAGGTCGTAAAAGAACACCACGAAACTAATCATGACGCTGGCCGTGACTCCAAGCACCAAGAAGCCGCCCACAAGAACGCTGGTTACGATCAACACCAGAGTGAACATGCAAACTATGGACAGAACTCCAATAGAAATTATGGGCCAGTAATGGGCTAAAGTCTAACGGCTATATTTTCTTGCATTGGCTTGTAATAATCCTTGCTAATAAAATTATATACATATATGAAAGCAAGTTGTTTCACTAATTTGGCACCTCAACGGCTCGACCAATCTTGATTGAACTTGACATAAAGCTAAGTAAATGAAATGGAGAAGGACGTAAGCTACTTTCTAGCCCGATCAATCAAATCACGCCAGTTACACGAACTCAGTCGCGAGTAAAAATTTTGTTTCGCATAATTTTATTTTGTTTCCTGCGAATGTATAAGAAAGGAGACAAACAAACGTAATCTTCTGCTTATGGAATCCTAAATCAACAATACTACCGACTTATATTAAATGAAATTCTTTAGTCACAGCACGCAGTAATTTCACTGCCATATCTCACCATGAAAACCGGGTCCCGGCTTGGTAGCAAAAATAGGTGAGACAGAGTCGCTTATACAAACGAATTTATTCTCTAACTAGATAATAAATATCCGGTAAATAATGCTTAAACAGAGATAGCAAGTGCCACACTATCACACCAATCGCTTGAACCTGAAGCTATCCTGTGTTATGAGAAACAAGGCGACGAATGTTCGGAAACACTAACCAGAACACCTTTGAGTCATAATTTAGAAAAGTTCCGTTTCCTAAATTGGCCCGACTGGGAATTGAACCCGAAACCTCAAATATGCCATACATGCTGGGGTAATATCGTTAACAACGATAATAATAGTATTTTTTGTATCATTGAGGATGTAACTGAAGATCTTAACGTTGTGACTCTAATCACATTACATTAGTACTTCTGCACCAATGCAATCGGCAATGCTGAAGGATGCGATGCTCTTAGTGAGTTGAATAATAAATTGAAGACTTTTAGTTCCTAACACTTTAAGGATAAGTTCATTAACCAATTTTCGACATAAACCGGGAGATTCATTAAATCCTTGCTATTTAATAAGTGAAATTTTCTTAATCCTTAGTAAGTACTGTCAAGATTCAGAAGATTTATTACATAGAGTTAGTTTAAACTGTGCCGTGCATTAGTCTGCAGTTTTCGACAAAGAAACATTGTTGGCAGAGGTCATTAATTTCGATATTTCCTCATCATTCTGTAATTGAGGTAGCATTTTTCGTTATATTTCAAATTATTTAGATTTAATGAGTACAAAATTAATATTGAAACAAATCACAGAGCACAATAGCAAAGATATTTATTTAGATTGTACATAAAAGAAATTGAAAGGGAGAAAACAGATACGATAGACAATTTTGATGAAGTATCACACCTGCTACAGTTTATGCTAAAGATGTATGATGAAAAATGAAAAAAAAAAGTTATATATATATCATCATCACCATCATATCAGTCATCAACTGTTCACTGCTAAACATAGGCCTCCGCCATAAGGAGGATTTTACCTATTGCCATGCTTGGCAAGCGAGTTGGCAAACATCCTCAGCCTGTGTTAATGTTTTAAAAGGAACGGTTCTGCCCAATTCAACAATTAAGCTGTAGTCTTATGACATACAATATTTTCTTCTGAATATGTTCTTATGAATAAAAACTATATGTACGGATCTAATACTTTGGCTCGGTTCTTTCTTCTCTTCTACGGTTCTCACGAAGAGCCTTAGTTAAAAAATAGAGATGGACAGAGCAGAGTTCTCTTTCGAATTTTAGTTTAAAACTTTTATTATTCTCTAGGTTATAAATAATGGAAGAGACATCATGTTCAAGACATTTGCATGTACCATTTAAAACTAATGTGAATTGTACATTATAACAGCACTTTTCCAAGATATATTTTATTCGAGATAAATAAATGAAAACATGTTACAGACAATTTAGTCTCGATAAATTAAACAAGAGTTTTAACTTGTAACTATGATACAAATAAGTTTTAAATTACAGTATTTGTATTGTTTTATAAATTGGGATCGTCTGAAGTGTTGTGACGTGTCGTTAAGCCTAGACGACACTCGTGCCCGTGCGCCCTCGACGTCTGGCGTAAAGGTCACTCTGTCAAGCAGAAATTAATCCTGCGATAATGTACCTGAGAATTATTTTCGCAACGTTAACCTCACAAACGTGGCGCCGTAAAAAAAAGTACTGACCCTAAAATAGCCAGTACACAATAGCTCGTTGCGGTGCAAAATCTGACTCATATGGTCACCGCCTCAAATGGTAACGGTGACATCATTAAAGTGAGTGACATAACAATGTACCTAAGTTTTACTGGACTGTATCGTTATTTTAAGCACGAATTTGGGTTTAGAGAAGCTACTATTGCTTAGAATATTACTTATTGCCATGCGGTCCCGGCATAGAACAGGTCACCCTTTTTTTTCAGGTGGGTGTCGTAAGACATGATTAAGGGATCTTATAGTGGAGGGATGAGCAGCAGGGTCCCTCTTTAAATGTTACTAAAAGCCTAACTGCAATTGCCAATCCGCCTGCCAAGCGTGGCAACACCCATCGATAGAAGGAGGCTCTCGCAGTGGACAGTTAAAGGCTGATAAGATGATGATATTACTTACACTTACGTAATATTCCATGCTAGTTGTATTCTGCGACTTCTTCCCTGTGAAATATACAAAGTATCCTATATGCTAAGTTACAATAAACCTATTCGTGTACTAAATTTTAGTATAATTTGTTTAGTTATTCTTGCATAATAGAGTAACAAACATCCATCTTATCGTAACAAACTTTCCCATTTATAATATTAATTAATAGGATTATCTTTTATATGCATTCAATTGATTTTCTAGATGTTACTGAGCTTTCGGCATTTGACTGCTTGTTTTCAAGAACTTTATTTTATTGAAGGCGACCGAAGTCAGATCTCATCTGATGGCAAATGGATACAATAGTTCAAAGATGAGATTTACCATCATAGTGGATTGCGACTGCCACCTTGATAACCTTATAGTGTTTTATTTTAGAACGTTTTACAGTTATAGAAAAGGTGAAAGAAAGCTGAAAGTTTGGGTTAAAAGACTACTCCAAATTTTGCTGATTCTGCAGAGACATTAGGTAGCTGGTATTTTTTCTCACAATATACGCAATGACAGCTTATTTAGATTTCTAAAATTGATCTTAAACTAATGAAAAGTATGAAATCTTTCACGAAACATCTCTTTACTTTGGGAACAATCAGCTGAAGTGCAGCGATAAATGAACAACAACCCAATACATTAATTATATGTATTTATTATCATTCTAGACAAAGGAATCTTAGAAACTATACACGATACGTAACTTTATACTTGATATACAATATCTATGATTACTAAACAATACTATTTTCATTAAATATCACATCAGAAACTATAATACAAATACAATTTGAGCAAGTGTATCATATTTACACGAACAATTATGAAATACTAGTACTTATTATAGATTAATGATAACAAACAGCAAATTATTAATAAAATGAATAATACAAGGTAAAATATTGTTTTCATAGTAGAAAGAGATAGCTCGTATTATAATTATACGTAACTATCTTCACCTGGGGCGAAAGGGATTATTAGCAATGGAGTTTGACAGCCCCATTGCTAACAATATGCCCTGTTACGTCGACGTCCACGTGGTTCCCCCTGGAAACCATCTTGAACAATTCTTGTTGAATTCGTCACTATGGGCTAACTGACCTGCTTCATCCTCATCTTTCACTGGTGCCCCGCCGGTGTATACCGATGGCGCAGGCGGGGTTACTATTTCATTATCGCCCAAAAAAAAACTATCTTCACTAAAACTTCTTCAGGCTCGTATATCTTCTGCTTCGTCTCCTTTCACAACTCGTCTTATGTATTTACGCTGCCTTCGGAGAGTTTTTACTTCTGCCTCAGGTAGAATACGATCTACCTGATTATCATAGAGTAATCTAGGTCTCCGCCTGTACCTGCATGCTTCTATATTCTCATTGTACATTAATTGTACAACTTCCCTGCAGAATATCTTTTTTAAACCTAAATATACTGAATTAACAGAACCCGATACACAAATATAGCGCCAAAAAATATTCCACGGATGAACTTAAAGTAGGTTGATTTCTTAAATCATCTTTAACGTTCAATTCATCAAGATGTCGAATTGAAAGTTGCTGACAAGTTCTAGGATCATTAATACCAATCAGTCTCTCTTCTGGAAATTGTGTTTTGGCTTTGAAATATTGAAGCTACCCGTAGTGACTCGTTTGAAGACACCGACTCTGGAAAATTAGTTTACAGTGAAAGAGAGATTACTTTTTATTTGAGCTTTTGAACAAATGCAGATTGAATTCGATAAATTAAGATTCATCTTAGGGAAATTTAATAGTATGAAATTTAATAAAAATATTGAAATATTTTTTATGCCTGCCTTTACAGATAAATAGATAGGTATTCTTTGTTGTTTCCTCCAATACATTACAATAGTAAATTTATTATAAATATAAAAAATTACAAGAAATAATCACAAGTTATATAATTATTCATTTTTATTTTGGCTAGATAGAAAATAAAAAAATAGCAAATAGCTGATTGGAGAAATCCATGAATTCATAATAATTTATTTACTTGGATATTTATCTTGGCAAAGTACACACTTCCAATATTACAACAATATTGGATATAATAAACGTCGTTGTCGATTCCGATACGTAATCCGCTTTATTGGAAATCAAAGTACTATGAAATTACTGAAGTCATAATATTTAATTAATATGATAAGCGCTTTATATAAGCAAAATTGTATTTTACAGGGAAACTGAAGTCTATAAAATTTATTAATCTTTTTATAATACGACCTTGTATTAAATCATCAAAAAAAAATATATTTTATGTTAAAACTCGTAGAATATTTGTTTTTTTTTTTTTGTTTTCTATTTATATGTATGTAGATTTATATGTAGTTTATATCAGAGGGAAACTTTGTACAAAATTCGTTTGCTTGGGTACCTCTGTCCCATTCGAGTTTCTACCGTGAAGCAGTTGTGTTCGCATGACTGTGTTTCTGCTTAAAGGGTGGAATATGGCAGTGAATTTACAAGGTACAGATGTATAAGACCTTAGACCTCAGGAATGCAATGCATGGGGGGGGGGGGGAAGTATCACAAGCGAAACAGTATAAACTGTTATGTCCATGATACTGTTCATGTCTATAGGCGATAGTTACCGCTTTCTATCAAGTGGACCGTCTGCTTGTTTGCCATTCTAACCGAATAAAAAAATTATGCAAATTCTACTTACTGTTATATATACAATAAGATAATAGAATTAAAAACAAAGTCTGAACGCTTTATCCTAACAACATTTCTGTGGAACTATGAAAACTTTTTAAATTTATTAGAGAACCGCAAACTTTTAACCTATTTGACGAGTCGAAAATTTAAAACGACGCAGACACTGGCGTTAGTGAAACCTATTAAAGGTACAAACTATTAATTGAATACCGTAACAAAAGTGCTGGTCATATTTAGCGAGCGATCGATACAGGTGTCGCATGTCGACTTGGTTATATCAACAAAATTTGATGAGAACTCGGGCCTGGAAAACATATTTAAATCCAATAACTATATAAATGACAAGGAAGCCACAGAAATGTTCGAAAAAGAAATCGTTTTTCTGACCTTCACATTCACATATCTTGACGTCAACATTAATTATGTACCAGTCAGCAAAAGCATTTTTGTAGATTAAGAAATTCTTGAAATACATCAGCAAAGACTAAGCCATCTTCATACTTTTTTTTAATGGGTGAAAATGGTATGGTAACCCCGCCCGCGCTAACGGGCTACGCCGGCGGAGCACCAGTGAAGGGTAGGATAGGTGAGAATGAAAACAGGGCAGTTAGCCCATCATGATGAATTCATCAGGAATTAACTATGATAGTTTCCAGGAAGAACCGCGAGGATGTCGACCTGGTTGGGTATATTGTTAGCAATGGGATTTTCAGTCTCCATTACGAACAATCCCTTTCCCCCGCCATCTCCATATTGATGGATTATGGTTAAATTGAAATATATACATACACGTAATTTACTCCTAACTCTCTTTGGAGTTGATAGAAACAGTGAAAAACCAAATGTTCCGATCCAAACATATGTTGGGATGAATTGTTACAATAATCACCATGAAGATTTGTATAAATCATAGAAAAGATAAAAAGACTATCCAGTATGACAGACGAAAACGAAAATTAGCCAAAAAGCAGAAAAAAGAACAAGTGATGTAATAAGTTAATTATTTTTCTTTATATTTTCTAGAAAATAAGAAATACTTACCATTTTTAACAGACAAAATAAAAAAAAAACAAAACCAACAAAATATGATAAAATTAAAACAATAAAATTCCAAATTTAAAATCTATCAGTAGGTTGTTTTACAATTATAAACAGATACAGCAACTGTAAAGTAATTCTTAACTTGCTTTACATGAACTAATAATGAAAACTCAGTTACAAAAATTTTTAGAACAATACAACAAAAGAAAGATTAATAAAGCTTTGTTTCGCGCTGTGAAATAGAATCTAGGTCTCAGATATAATTTCTACATTCGGCCAAGGCTAAAGAAGGTAGGGCAACCGCTATTTTACAACAATGTTAAATTTGGGAGCGAAATATTGTTCTGTAGTCTAAATCGAAACAAAAGCTTTTTAGACGTTAGCGACAAAGTAGTAACAAGCTTTTCAATAGCAAAATTTCGTTTTTGTGTCAAAAATGAAACTGAATTTACTATTGAATAATTTAAAACGATTATTCATTGATAGGCAACTATTCTCTTCCACAAGAGGGTGTAACAACCTCAAGTGTTCAAATGACACATCAGTTAGAAGTGGAAGTCACATCTTGCAAAAATCTGTTATGACTATCTAGGGTCTCTCCCTTGTATTTAGCAGTGAACAATAATAGTCGACCTCCGCAATACCTTACTTAATATGCTTTGCTATTTAAATTCTATAAATCGATATACTTATTGCTAGTAAAGTAACTTTCCTCATCAGATCGGAAGAATCAGAAGAATCACTTACCTACCAAATATAGTCGATGCTAATCCAAAAACTTTGCTCATTTACTGTTCCTGGGATCAGTAACTGAACCTTTCGGATAAAATTTAAATAATTTATTGCACTAATATGGGTAACATATACTAAATAAAAAAATTCGAGTCCCTTATTCCACATTTTACCATAACTGCATGTTTAATATGAAATTAACGTCAAATTATTGTGAATAAAAATAATAATACGTATAATATAAAAATATACACATATATTAAAATCAGTTTAACATAATTCGAATTGAGAAATCCCTACCTAAAGGTTGGTAGGACAAAATAAGCTTATCCTAAATCAGATTTCGACGCTGACACATATTATGTAACAATGTAATCCAACAGTGGGCAGGATAATTGAAATTGACATAAAGTTTCCGCTGCAAACGCTGGTGGCAACATCGTTCGCTTGCACGAAAATAAATGTTTCAGCATGGATCTGAATACGATGATTCACCCAGTATCTCGACAGATGCTAAATTTGTTAAACATGTTGAAAATAAGGTCACCGGATTGAATTGTTTTTGGATTACAATTGTATTTTTAATGAAAATAGTGCAAATGGCAAAATTTTTTTTACATAGGTTCTCGCGACGAAACGCGTTTACCGAGAAGATGGTCATTCACCATTGACATGAATAATCCCAGATTGCATTTCTTCAAGAACTCTGAACACGGAGAGCGTTCCAGTCCTTTTTAGTTCAACTGATATTGGCAATTACTGTTGATATAGCTGTTTAACACACTGCTATATCTTCGAATAATTACGAGTTTGATCCTTGCAAATTACAAACATTTATGGAGATACAGATTTTTGTAATAATATGGGTATATCTTCAAAGTTCCACCAAGTGCCACTATTAATATACAAATATTTGTATTCTTGGGAAAATCTGTCCTAGTCTTAAGTACGTCTAACAATTTAGACAACTATAGTATAGCTTGTACTTGCGAAATTGAGGTTTGGTACAAAATTGTACGGAATGGAACAATACATTCAGTAGAAACCCAACATTTTGAAACGTAATATACTCGTACAAACTGCAAATTTCTTTTCACAAAGTATAATATTTATTACGTTTTTAATGAATTCCTTTAGGTAGTTAGTTCATTGCGTAACATCCTAAATGGTTATGTTTTTGCAAGTTTTTTTTTATAAAACTTAGAATGGCAAACAAGCTGACGGCCCACCTGATGGAAAGTGGTAACCGTCGCCTATAAACATAAGCAGTATCATGGACATAACAGACTAAACTGTTTCGCCCTTGATACCCCCCATGCGTTGCCATTCCTGAGGACTCAGATGTTATTGTACCCTGTAAATTCACGCCATATCCCAGCCTTCAAACCGAAACACAGCCATGCAAACACAACTACTTCACGGTTGAAATACGAATGGGACAGAATTACCTTCAAGCAATCGACTTTTGTACAAAGTCTGCTAATGTTGTTAGCTATAAATGAAAAGGCTACAAATAGATAGTGCAACCTACTTTAGCATTCCTCCTGTGTATTCTAGTTTAAGTTTTTGTATACTTACTTTTGTTTTAGTCTGTCATCAGACTACTTTTACTTTTTATATACACATTTATCAGATAAAATCATTTTTATATGTAAAATTTATTTAATGTAATATGTATTCAATAAGGTACTAATATTTACATAAAACATCTCTTGTTAATGTTGCCTTCATGCTTTATGCACTTATGTCTGGCCTTGCAACTTGTCATAGCAGATATATTCTGTTTTGATGCTGTTAAATGTTTTATTGTCAAGCTGTCTTTTGCATCTGTATAAATAAATAAAAGATTCGTATGTAACGTGTGAGTGGTAACAAGTTTCATACGTCAGGGCTAAATAAATTTGAAATACATGTAGGTACATACATGCATAGCATTTTCAACAGAATATTAATACAGTGTGGGCGTGAGTTTTTTAAATAAATATACATTAATGTATATAATTAAGTCAATGTGAAACTCTTCATCTGAGCGATGTGGATAGACCCACGTACAAGTACGTCTCCATAGATTAAGTAAATTAAAAAAAAAACTCCTATAACACCGATTTGGAATTGCCAGCGTAAACAGAAATTTTATTAAGTTGGAGTCATCATCTTCATTAATATAGTGTTTATGAATAATGATAATTTTACCAGAGGGAGACTTTGTACAAAAG